TATTTCAAATGTCAGGCGTTTTGATAGATATCATTAGCCATTTAGCTGACTTCGGGCTTCACAAAGGGAAGGTTCATCAAAGTAACACAAAGTCGAGGGGTGGGGAACAGAAGAGCGATTCACAGATGTAAAAGAGACAGACAGACATAAAGGTAGAGAAATAGGTAAGGTGACTACTGTGGAAGGGGTCGAACATGACAACCAGGGGGGTCGTGGTAGTTTGAAGTCAGAAGTCAACTGCCGATTAATAGACTTTTGCCGTATGAGTATACGTTGCCCAAGGTCCACCACGTGGAGGTAAGTCTATCGCACACACCTGCATTAGTATCATAAGTGTTAGTATTGTCTACCACCCGAGCATTCTTGGGTCCTTTGGAATTAAAATTTTCCTGACAGGCGTTAAGAAAGAAATTGGCTTTGCAACCACTACTATTATATTTTACGCGTTCGCGTGTGTGCCTTCAAATGGTATTCAAAATTCAAGTCTGCTTGACCTTAATCTATTTGACTTTAGAATGCAAAACTAAAGATTGAAGCTTAATGGTCGTCAAGGGTGTCAAAATGAAGAGGGAGTAAGGTTTCACAAAGCTCTCCCCCCCCCTGCCACCTCTATTGTATTTGGATTTGAACGCCTTGCCTTATACCGCCTCATTCGTATTCGTAATAAGTGGCTTATTAGTATTTTAATAAAGTGATATCCAGGCATCTTAGATAAACGTCGGACAATCTCAGTAAGGGATAATTGCATAGCCCAGCTAATCTAAGCATATGCAAATTTTGCTTATTTGTATCTAATTGATTGAAGTTAGTGGCAGAACAAACTAGTTGCATATTGTGCCCAAGTTCTGGTGGCTTATTAGTATTTTAATAAAGTGATATCCAGGCATCTTAGATAAACGTCGGACAATCTCAGTAAGGGATAATTGCATAGCCCAGCTAATCTAAGCATATGCAAATTTTGCTTATTTGTATCTAATTGATTGAAGTTAGTGGCAGAACAAACTAGTTGCATATTGTGCCCAAGTTCTGGTTACCATCGTCAATCGGGTATAAAGTATCTCAAACGGTTTTCGAGTGTGATTAATTCCAAACACTCTATTCTCTTGCAATAGAAATCTATATTCATTGGACATGACCAACCACGGAATAATTGCAACCAATCAGTAAGTTTGGATTACTGTAGACTTATCACACAGGTTATAATAAAATGTAAACAAGAGGGGATTCTACATTGAAGTATACTCGCTCTCCCCTTTGGGAAAATAAGCCACAATTTCCTTCAGCAATTTAAATTCAAGTACGACTCTTGTTACTCTGACTTCATCATATGATCCGTTTTTATACCCCTCACCCCATTCATGTCTAGCTGCTCCTTTTATTCACATGACAAATAGCAAACTTCTTTTGTAGTGCCACTGGCAAATAATTAAAAAAAGACAAAGTGAGCGGGACCCACAATCCCGATTTCTTTAATCACCTATCTACAATCTACCTCGTCCTTTGGAAGTCCCCAGGGCCGAGGCGATTATAGACGATTAACTTCTAATGCTTCTATATATATCCATATTGCTTCAAACGATGTCAGTAGGCTGTCATTGATTCCATATTAGGCATATAAAGATACTAATAACAGGTAGTGGCAGTTCTATAAGTTGTCTACGTGAATATACCGTTATTGAAGCTCTGTCAAGCTCAATTATACACAATAACTGCAACCAAGCTCCCATTTCCATTACTTCCATCCATGCCCTAACTGAGCAAGTGGCTTGATTTGTACCTACAATATGAGGAGTCGAACTAAAAATTGCATCGAAAGCTCTATTTATATGAAAAAGACCGAATTGTCCTTTTCGTGTTTAGTAAGAAGAAATGCACTTATAGCTACCCTCGTCCCATGTTTTCTCTGACCACAACCTATCCGTCAACCAAACCCACATTAATTAACCGACCCAACCTTTTATCTTCTCACTTTTATTCGGTAATACGATTCTGACTTTGTCTAACTCATAAAGCAGCTCTACTGATGGGAATAGAGTTACTTTGACCAACATCACGCCACCGATTAATGTCCCATTTCTATCACCATAACCCCCCAAGGCCTTTACTGCTTACCTACTTTAAATCATCTAATTACAATGGCATAGAAATTGCTTACTGTAATAAAATGGCTCCACTGGAAAAATGCCTCAACAGTAAATAAGCTACGTCCAACATTTAAATGGAACCATAACGAGCGGGGAGACGAGAGGTTTAACTAAGGAGAAAAACAGAATGCACCAATGCTTCTTTTATCTTAATCATAAAATAGATTAGCTCGAACAAAACCAAGAAATACGGATAAACAGAGAAGGAACAGTTTGAGCCACGACCATCTCAAACTATCCTCCTCTAAAAGAACATCATAAGAAATGGTCTATCACAGAGGGGAGACTATATACAATCCAGGAAAATTATAGAAGAATGCTTTAAAGCTAAAAAGTTCACAAGAGGAGAGGGGGATCACAGTTACCTTATGAAATCAAGAGTTCAAATATTTTGGCTTGTGATCCATAAAAAGGAAAGTATATACAGAGAAAAGATAGTAACACTCAAAAGGGAAGCAAATGGAGAATGTTAAAATTAAGGATTAAAAACCCGTCAATCGACGGCAAAATGAGCTGTGTCCAGAAGTCCAATCCGCCTTCTGACAGTCCGTAGAACAGTAGGAGGCCCCAGGACAACAGTAGTAGATAGACTTCTTTAGGCAACGCCGACACCACTCGTGCTTCTTTGCCTCCTCAAGCTCACGGGCATGCCGCTCTCCCATTTCTTGCATTTGGCGTTGTAGCTCCCTAATTTGTTTCTTGAGCTTTTCGTTTTCGGTATTTGCAGCAATTAGTTGACGCATGTGATCCTAGAAATTACAAAACGGAAAATTGGTCAACCTAAATGTAACTCTTAAATACGCTCAACTTTACTACTTAAAAAATAACTAACCTCGGCAGCAGCATGGTTGGCGCAGTTGTGCCCAGTGCAAGTCGCTTCGACAGGAGAGGCGTCCACCGTAGAGCCTATCCCGGAACTGGAAGATAGAGCTGCTGGAGATACAGACAATACCGAAGGCACGCCATTATTATTGCTGTTAGTAGTGGCAGCGGCGGGTGGAACGGAATTACGCTTGGATGCAAACGACGAAATCATGCCCGACGTTAAGATACCGGTAGCAGTCTTCCTACTCGCTTGATGAACAAACAGTTTTAAAGCTTGGACACCGTTAGAAAACTCATCTCGGGACCACATCCATTCAAACTTAACTTTTGCACTGAAAACACTTCCAAGCTACCAAGAAGAAATTGAATTTTGCTTGCCTTGAATAGAGTGGAGCCAGTTTGAAAACTCCACATCCGCTACCTCCTACAGTTCAGTATCAAATGACATAGCCCTTCCCAAAACTCAATCTGAACCTTACTACGCGGACGTAAACGGTTGGGCAATTTCTGGTAGAATAATCTAATGAACAGCCCTTCCTTTCTTCCCCTCGCCCAGAATCACAAACTTAAGATCTCTTTTCATCCACTACAAACTAACCTCGTTTAAGAAGATCCTTTACGTTAACAGCACTTTCAGTGACACGTTGGTTCTTCTTCGAAAGGCGTCCCGATACCTGTTGCACCTACAATGATAAGAGACATTCAAATACGAATAAGGAGTATAACAGATGGAGGAATACTAACTGATTTGGTAGCGAATTTTGACATTGTCTTCAGCTTCTTCGAATGGGTGAGGGAAGAGAGGACCGACTTAGCAGAAGAAGCGGAAGAAACGCTACTGCAACTACTGCTACTACTACTTATACTTCTTTTTCGACATATAGGAAGAGGAGAGGGTTTATTCAACCGAGGAGATTCAGAAGACTCAAGGGGAGAAGAGGAGGATGCAGAGTCACTGTCTGTTACAGTAGCCCTACCCGAAAACGCACGAGTAGAGGATGGCAAAGTAGTAGATGAAGGAAAAGTAAGGGATTTAGTCTTTTTTGTTGAAGGCACAGCCGGAGAAGTGGGAACTTTGGACATGGAAGGGGGGGTAGCTCGATATGTAGTGCTGGTGGGGCGTTTGGCAGGAGGATAATCAGAATCGGAATCAGAGCTGGACACGCTATTCTCCTCACTATCACTAGTAGTATCAGAGGAGTAAACCCGAGCCGAGCGAAAAGCTGTACTGCTCGTTCTAGAGCTAATGTTTTCATCAGGTGATGAAACGGGACGAAAAGAAGGGGTAACTAGAGCAGCTACAGAAGCAGCCGGAGCCTTTTCGTTGAAGTTATCAGTCTTGCCTGAAAGGAAAATAAAGATAATGACAAAAAACGATAGGAATATTGCTTCCAGGACTCGTGGCAATAGTTACCCTTAGGATATTGTGAAGAAGCAGAACTTCTCTTAGAACTAGTCTTCGAAGTGGCAGTGGTCGATTTCCGGGATTTTTTCAATTGGAAAGCGTCAGTGTCGTCAGATTGCTTCAGGGGTTTTGGACCGACATCACAGTTAAGTAACGAGACATCAAACTCAAATCCAGGAGTGAGTTTCTGTTGGTTCTCCACATACGTTCTCGCGTCTTGAAGAGCGCGCTTAAGAGCTGAGTTGACCGTCATACCCAAATTAGAAGAAGAGACAGTGAATAGGAAGACGCTGTTTTTCTGAGCCGATATTCGTTCACGTCGGTTGTCAAAGGAGATTAACTCGTAGCTCTCGTCACTTTTGTAAAGGACTTTACAAGGTCGAAAGGCCCAGCTACCGTATTGATACCAGACTATATCATGGGGTCGAGGACAAGCCCTAACAATTTGAAATCGATCGGGTCGCCCCCCATTTGACCGGACATAACAATCGGCACAGTATGAAGATTCCTTAAGTTCCTTTAGAATGGTTGAGCGAAGATTACGTGCGGTAATAGTCATTTCCGCCTTAGTACCATAAATTACGGCTACATTATGAACGAGAAGGTCAAGGTCGACCAAGAGATGAGTACGAGTAAGATAACCTTCCGACAACTTGGAAGCAATCATTTTAGTATTAATCTGCTTTATGCAGAAATATTTGTTTCGATTCAGTTCCTCGACGTACCCAACAGTACAGAGATTTAGCCAGGAAACCTTTCCCTGCATTTTTTCCTCAATAATAGCAAAAATTTTGCGAATATTTGGTTTAGTCTCATTTCTTAATTGAGTGTCATTGAGACGTCTACAGGTAATGCAAGAAGATGCGGACGCATTGGATGGTCGATATTTTTCATCAGGAAAATCAAAGAATGAATTGATCTCGAATGAGCGTTTATAACAGACCTCGTGGTACACACGGAAGCAGGTCGAACAATTAATAACAGGACCGGGCAGGTGACAATGGAAACAGTACCTAAAACAGAGTTTAGATAAAGAGAGAGACTTACGAATCATGGGAAGATTTCGTTAGCAAAGAGGGCCAATCTGGTCTTCGGTAATGGGAGTCATTTACAACAATACAATTGTCTCGCACCGCATTTCCTAACTGTTCCTGAAGTTTTGACACTGAAAATTTAGGATCCTTCTCAGAACGAATATATCGCAGAATGTGGTCAAAGTTGCATATTTGATCAGCTGATGGAATCTCAACTGAATCCCATATATATTGCAGATACACGGGATCCGTATAACGCCTTGTAGTCATTCTCGCTTTTTACAAGAGTGACAATGCTGCTTCCCCCTTTAGGATCGTGAATAGGAGCAAGAAGCAATAATAAAACAGTTAGTTAAAATTACAACAAAAAGAAATAAATAGAACGTTCTAAAAGCGCGGCCTATTAAACGTGATTTGTCGACTTAAACGCGAACGTCGAATCGATGAAAATGGGTTATAAACCTAGTTTAATAATATAATACATTCAGGAGAGTATTTTTAAAATCATATCAGTTGAAGACTAGCTAATGACAGTTAATTTTATTTTATGCTTTGATTTTGTTTTGTATAATTGTATTTAGGCCTCGTGGATATTTGTAGATTCGTTGTTGGTCGAAAGCGAAACATTAATTCATTTTTACCTTAAATATTGCATACAATGCAATATATTGTGATTTTAAAGCGAAAAGAATATGTATTTAATAATTCATTTACGTTTGCCTTTATTCGAAGTTTATTTGACCGGAAAATCATATTTTCATATGCACTTCTTATGAAATAATAAGTATCATATCATTTCTAGTTAGTGATATTCGGTATTTGAAAGCCCGAGTAAACGGTTTCAAATGTTTGTTTGCAATTACTTTACTAAATGAAATCTCGATGTCTGTTTTATAATATTTTTATAACCATCATTTTCTGTAATGAGATTCTTTTATTGTTGTGATCATGATAATATCAATGTTTTCAGCTCTGAGCTATTTTATAAATACAATCGTCTTAAAGAGCGCTTCATTTGACATAACCAATGACTAAGTTAATTTTTCTGGTAAAGTATTTCCATTGTGATAAAACGCAGAGTTGGCTGGCATTACATTGAAAGGATAAATTAAGTTTTCATTACTTAATAAACAATATAAACATTACTTTCATGTGTAAGCTCATCTGTAGAAGTCATTGATATTAAAATGTGATCAAAATAATTTCAACAAATTTCAATTTAAGAAATCGTGGAATAAACGTCTAGGTCTTACAATTTTTTCACTTTTCCTTCTTCTCCTGGTGGTTCTTCTGAAACCTACGGAATATTGTTTCCTTTCTCAACTATTAGCTCCTTACTGTGAAAAATAATTTATACCCCTTCTCTTTAGCCTTTTTGATGCCAAATGCGATTCCTTCAACTCTTACATTCCAAGCCTTGCCCGTAGATACTGTCTAAGTGGCGTCCAAAAAATTGTATAGCACGATATAAACTTTCTTGTATTCGTTATGGTCGAAAGTAACTTTTCCTACTCGACTGGATGATTATATGCAATTATCAAGCGCATTCTTCTATTAAACGCTCTAGAGGGAAAGCATTGTGGTGTTCGCAATCCTCGCACGATAAAATCAGCACCCGAACGTTTTAGTGTGTATGGTTGTACATGCAGTGCACTGCTCAGATAGTTAGCCATTAATATTCACTCAAATTATGTTAGATTTGATAAATAATCAGGTTTGCTGATATCACAATTACCAATCTACATATTAGTTGAAACACGTTTTCCTTCTCTCTAACTAACTAGGAAATCATGCTATTAGAGATTTTTGAGTGTAGTCATGGAAGCTTAGTGAAGCAATTCTATTACAAATCATACTAAGTCCGAAAATATACATTTCATTTATTTGCCTTGAAAAAATCAACCAAAATATTTAAAATATTTAGTTTTTTATTTCATATTTTTAACATATATCTGCGGTCGTCGATGAATTAACGTGTAAAAAGAGACTATGCTAATGGATCAAAACTTCTACCAAAGGATGTTCACATATTCAGCGACGTCCTAATTTTAATCCACGTCTATTTAGTAAGGTTTATAAAATAAATAAACTAAAAATTGAATAGTTTAGTATTTTAGCAACACCGGAGGTAATGTAATTTATTATTAAAATCACAAGTTAGTTCAGGTAAATTTTAAAATAAAATACTCATTGTGATATAAGATTTGCCGACTAGTTGACCTTGAGACTTGTTGGCAGATTTTAACAGACGCTACCGCTGCAATCAAATTTTCTTACATTCTCCAAGATGCACATATTGAAGTTAAATTAGTTTAACTTCAACAATGCATAACGAAATTGATCAGCAGGTTTTACGTGATTTATATTCTTGGGTAGATTCAATCCCTCTTTCTCGCCCAAAAAAGAACATTAGCCGAGATTTTTCCGATGGAGTTTTAGTTGCTGAAGTTGTCAAATATTTTTTCCCAAAATACGTCGATCTCCATAACTTTCAAAGTTGCAATAAGATTGAAGGCAAAAGAAATAATTGGCAATTGCTAAACTGGAAAGTGTTTTCGAAGTTTTCTTTTAAAATAACAGATGATGTCGTTGATTCACTAATTAACGCCCAACCCAGAACTATTGAAAAACTTTTGCTACTTCTTCGATCAAAATTCCAAGAATATGAAAATTCTGGAGAGGTTAATGATACCCGTATTTTGCCCCTTTTATCCAATCAAAATGGTGTATCAAAAGTTATAACCTCTACCTCAATTCCTCATAGATTGCAAAGACTTCCCACTGTTTGGAATGAAAATAGAAATATTGAGCGTGGTGTTCCCTCTCTTTACAACAAAATTTCTATTTCCCAAAAGCCTGTCAGTAAAACAACTTCTGGGTCAAAGCCAGCTAATGGATCATCCTGGAGACAACCAAATAGTACAAATGGGTATCCTGAATCCGTCTCCAATGATCTTTTACAATCATATGACCAAAAAGTTCAGGAGTGTTTCAAACTTCAAGAGGCAGTGGATATACTTAACGCCAAACTTCGACGTATGCAGCATTTATTAGAGTTAAAGGATTTACGAATTAATGAACTCCAAAAACGACTGCAATTCTTTCACTAATAATATTTTTATCGACAACTTTGCACATTTAATAAATTATATTTAATATTATTTAAATATTTTTAAGCCCATCTTATATAGTTTATTGTGGCATTTATATTTAAAACGTTCTAATTAATTACTTGAAAAAACTAGAATTTTTTATTTCTATCATTCTGTTATTTGGCCTAGATTCTTATTAAATTAATATAGGTCTTTTTAAATTGTCGCATATAATTATTTTCATCCAAATAGATTAATTTCAATTGATTGTAATTAGGTGTCAATTAATACAAATTTATGATTACAAATTTTTAAAATTCATACTTCATTATTTAAAATCGATTGCTATATTAAAATCATATTATTATTTATAATGGCTATTTACAATTCGATTATAGTTTATTACCTAACTCTAGTAAATTAAAATAATTGACTCAAACGTATTTATTCTTACGTCTAAGTCACTTCTCTGGCCAGAATATAAACAGATTTTCAACCTATTTAAACTAACTAGTTTGACCAAATAAACCAAATACAAAACTACCTTTTTTTGCTAAGGCTCCATTTCATTTGTTAAGTTAAATATTTATTTTTAAATTGTTTATGTATGAACTAAGTAACGCCGAAATCCTTTTGCGGCAGCTTTGCATTATTAGGCCTACCAAATTGAAATGGATATCTCACAACTTTTCTGTAATTATGCAATTCAAAAAATCATACTTTAAATTACTTAAATTGCTTAGCTACAGTAATTAATGGTGGGGTGTGCCTATAATATCAATAAGGATAAATTCAAGGAATTTTGGAATTCTGAATTGATTAAATTGTTGATTTTTACTTACAGAACGCAGCTCATATAATTTTTCCCTGATGTTTAAAATGTCAACTTTATTTCCTTTTTGGCTTACTGAGTACGTTCGATTTGACTATGTTAGGTTGTTTTAGGCCAATTTGACAAATCGAGCTTTGTTCTTGTTACATCATTTTTTTGCAACAATTACATTTACAGAGAAATTGTACCTAAGATAAATAAAACTATAGACGATATAAATTCCAACGTTTCAAAGCTGACTAATTTGTAATTTTAATAATTTAATAAAAATTTTATTGTCATGTCTATAATCTCTTTAAAAAGATGCTGAATCATAGGGCTATTTTTAATTTAGCTCTAAATTAAAAGCAAATAGCAATAAGGTGTGTATTTGCGACACACTGCAAAGATAAAACAATACATTTTATCACATCAAGAAGATGAAGTGATCGGGATCAAGTTGAGATAGAGCTTAATGTTAAAACAGTTTTACGAAGTCTTCTTTAGCTTCAAGTTCTACGTCGTTTACTTCTTGAATATTGGTGGTTGTCATGTGTTTTATTACCTCTAGGCCGCAAATAATGAAGTAAACTTCTCAAGCATCTTAATTTCATTATAAAATTTAAGAATTCTGCTCTAGTATCTCCAACTAAGTGTTAGTATTTATGTCATTAGCCCTTTAGTTGACTTCGGTCTTCCCAGAACTGAGGAGCATCAAGGTCCCAAAAGTCGAGGGGTAGGGACAAAAGAGCGATTCTCAGATGTAAGAAAGGTAGACACAAAGGTAGAAAAAAGTTAAGGTGAGTACAGAGGGTGTGATCGAATATGACAAACAATGGGGTGATGGTAGTTTGAAGTGAGAAGTCAACTGCCCGTTATAGACTTTTTTGTCGTATGAGCATATACGGCTCAAGTGGAAGTAAGTTTATTGCACACCCCGAGTGTAATTATAATCACGTTTGTTCAAATGATCTAACTTCATCTCCTCATTTATAGTTAATTTACCAATACACTCCTGCGATGCTACATGCACTAAGGTGAAATAATTAAATGAGTTTTACAAAAATGTTATGTAAATTTCAAGAGATATGGGAAAGGGAGACATTTTCAAGTTATCTTATAGTAAGAAAATGTAAACTTCTTTTCTTTTACGATAAAATTGTTCATAGAATTGAAGTGCTGCAAGTAATAAATGTTTTACTTCGTTTCTGTAAATACTACCGGCACAAACTTCTGACACAAGGTACTATTAATTGGTATTTATTATCCTTGCCTCAAGTTATAAGAACATGAAATCCATTAAACTTCATGGATTGCGGCGATAAAGTAGAAATACGACAATTAAATGGAGTAGGTCAATGCGACTCCAAAGATGATGCGGAAAATAAGTGCGATTTAAAAATTAAATTATACCTTGTTTAATTGTATGTTCAACTTAACTTATAAATATTTTTTGACCCAAATTAAACTATAAAAAAGGGTCTTTGATTGCATGCTGATTTTATTCAGTCTAGCAACTTACCATTACATTTCACAGTGATATAGAAAAACTTATCGATTTTTATTAAGGGAATTACAATACAACCGAGTAAGTGAAAATTTAACAAAGATGAATGGAAGGGCAATAAAAGTGGCTATTTTACTTGAATTTTGCTTCAAGGTTGACAAATATTCACTTGGTTAGTAGTTCATTATTCCACCTTCTGGAATTTAAGCCTAGTTTTTGTCTATCGAAGGTCGAAAAAGCAGAGTAAGCCCTAATAATCTTGGGAGTACTACTCAGTTACAATCTGAGTCGGTCAATTAATGAACTGCTATGAAATCATCTATTTCACTTTTCCATCTTGAGTGGATGAAATTTGTAAAGTTTTGGATTGGGAATAAATTTGGTCGGGTTTCCTATCATCCGCTGAGCATGAATCCACTTCGCAATGCACCTAAAAGAATTCCTTTCTAGTTGAATATCACTCTACTTATTCTTGTACATACGCTAGTATTTTATTATAATAAAACATGCAGACCAATATTGCGATTTCATTTTGGTTTTTTAAATCAACAAGCATTCAACATGAAAATGATTTTTAATCCACAATAAAGCAAAGTTCTCCCCATGCAAAACAAAACTTAAAATCTCAATATATGAGATTTATTCCAGCTTATTGGGATCAGTGTATTGCTCAAGGAAAAAGGATAATTTTCTAAATTTTGTGAGTCATCCCACAGCAACCAGGTCGCAATCAATGCCAAACCTCTCTCTCGAGCTGGACACATATGTGCAAGGAAGCCACTCGTCCTCTATTTTGACCTCGTGTGTTTAATAAAACCATTCCGAATTCAAGACAGCTTCACAGGATTAATGGGGAAATAGTTTCCAAAGTTTGGATTTCAGAACTAGGCGTTGCTAATCCAAGCTGAGAAATAATATCGAAAAGGCACAAGATACAATTTGCAAAACAGTTTATATCAAATAAGGGCTCTGTAAATTTCCATTTTGCAGTGGTATCACCACCAAATCTTTCAAACGTGCCATTTCCCATTTCTTCTGTTGAATCTGAATCAAATTTTCGTTCTTCATTTTACTTTAAGCCCCGATCAAAATCTCCACTTTAAACTATAGTATTTTGTAAAGCTGTCAGGGCAATGATATCACTTCTATATCAAGGTATGAAGAAATCCGTGATTTGGGAAAGAAATGCTAGTATTGAACTTTTGATCCAAGTAGATGAAGAAATAGGAAAGAAACTTCAATTCAGCATCAAAAAAATGTTGACTCCATCCATCATTTTTTGACGAATCGGTTTAGCCATAAAACTTTGAACCTCTGGTTTACTTAGCCTACTAAAAGATGGTTAGATCGAGAAATATGGCAAAGAGGCAGTAAATTCTATAAAAGACAATTGGAATTCAAAATGGCTTTGAACTCATTGAAAAGGAATTTTAAACAACTCGCTAAATTTTGTTTGTTTAGAAGATATAAACAACGGTGGAAAAGAAAAATGAAAAGGTGTTCAATGTGTGAATTTTGTTGCTTTAGTGATACTAGAATGTCCTCAAACTCAGAGATTATCATTAATAGCTTATGCGTTCGCAAATTATCAGCTTATGGGGTAAGATGTAAGGGCTTTAAACAAAGTACAACAGGAATGGGAAAAGTGTTGACACTTTATGATATAGGTTATAAGGAAATTCCATCGAAAACATCGTAAAATATTCACCAAAGTAGTCGTAGAGAGGATATTAAACGATGAATTTAAAAAATTGGGAGAGGGGGGATTCGTGAACGAAAATAAGTTACCTCGGAACAAAATAGCTTGACGTGCTCTGTTATTCATTAGTTCGAAAATAAAATTACACAATTTAGCAAAATTTTTACTAAATAAAAAAACGAAATAAAACATTCTTTAAAATTAGCATACTTTATTTTCCCCTTAACAACCTATTTTGTGTGTGTTTCTGGAGGAGGCACCTTACAAGGTCGATTAGTATTGTCTTGTCCAAATATTTTGCAAAGTTGGATCAACAATACTTTAAGCAAGCTATAAACAAATGCTTTCAGAACAATTTAAAAAACTATGAAATTTAATTAAAACTTATTTTGAGAGCGTCTTTGGTAAATGCTATTATAGAAAAGCAAAACGGCATACAACCTATACTTGTTGCTAGTCTTTGAAGTAACTAACCTCAGTCTAAAAATTGCAAGTTTAATCAGGAACGACTATTTCAAGAGTTGGTTTTTTAGCTTGCACTTCAATTACGCTTAAGATGACAGTAAGATTTTCATTTCAAACTTTAAGCTATGAATATGTTTGAAGCCACAAGAGCACACGTAACACAGAAGAGAATTTGGAATAACTTTTTTGATTTAATATTTATTTTTCAAATTGTAGACGCTTTGATAGTTATCATTAGCCATTTAGCTGACTTCGGGCTTCACAGAGGGGGAACATCAAAATGAGAAAAAGTCGAGAGGTGGGAGCAGAAAAGAGATTCACAGATGTAAAAGAGACAGACAGACACAAGGGCAAAGAAAAGGTAAGGTGAGTACTGTGAAAGTGGTCGAATATGACATACAGTGGGGTCATGGTAGTTTGAATTCAGATTTCAACTGCCGGTTAATAGATTCTTTTTGCCGTATGATTATACGTTGCCAAGGATGCACCACGTGGAGGTAAGCCTATCACCCACCCCTTTTATTTATTCAATTTTT